GCCTTGGGGGGTCCATGGGGGGGGGGGAGGCCCGAGCCCGCCACGGCCGGTGCAGCCCAGCGTGACCCTTCCCACCTAATCCAAACGCCTTTGCATTTTGCGATTGCACGGCTGCCGCGGGTGCGTGTTGCCGGCGGCATGGCCCCAATGATGTCACATGCTGAACAGCAACGGGACAGCTGGGGGTGCTGCAAGGATTGTGCTTGCAAAAGCACATCACGGCCTCTTGCCCCGCCAACACCCCGCCCGTCCCGCCCAGGCCTCCTTGCGCTCCCGCCGCTGCCCGGCGCGCTGCGGCGCTACTGCCTGGGCACCCTCGAGCTGCTCACCAGCAGTTGCGGCCCCCTGGCCCTGACGGTGCTGACGGGCACGGCCCGCCCGCGGCTGGCCGCGCCGCCGCCGCCGCAGCAGCAGCCGGCCGTCGTATCGCCGTCGGGCGTGGCGCCGCGGCAGCCAGGCGGCCAGCAGCAGCAGACAGAGCAGCAGCCGAGGGTCAAGCTTGAGGAGGGCAGCGGCGCAAACGGCGCCGCCGGCGCCGCCGCCGCTTCCACGCCGCCACCGCCTGCCGCGGACGGTCGGGGCGGGGCTGGGGGCGTGGAGTGGGATGACTGCGACGATGACGTCATGATGGCTGACCTGGCGCTGGCGGGGCTGGCTGACGAGGATGAGGAGGAGGGGCAGCAGCAGCAGCAGCAGCAGCAGCGGCAGCAGCAGCAGCTGGAGCAGGGCTTGACTGTAAAGGAAGAGCCGGGGGCCAGCAGCGGCGCAGAGGCGGCAGGGGTGCTGCAACCGGAGGAGGGTCGGCGGGGACCAGACACCGAAGGGAGACAGGGGCAACAGCAGCAGCAGCAGCAGCAACAGCAGGCAGAGCAAGAGGATGAAGAGATGGGTGACGGCGGCCGCGAGGGGCAGCAGGAGAGTGGCCCCGCCGGCAGCGTGAGCGGCGCGCCTGGCAACAGCCGCAGCCAGAGCAGGAGCCGCAGCCCAAGCAGGAGCCGCAGCCGCAGCTGCAGTCCAAGAGAGCAGTCGAGAAGCCGCAGTCTGACCCCCGCCGGCAATGGAGCCGGCGGCTCGGAAGGCGAGGGGGTGCACTCTCAGGACGAAAATGGCAGCGGCGAGGGGCGCAGGGGCGGCAGTCACGACGAGGGGAGCGGAGGCGGACGCAGCCAGAGCCGCAGCCGTGGCAGCTCGCCGCAGCGGTCCAGTAGCGGCGGGCGGCGCCGCAGCAGCGCCAGCGGCGATGGCGCCCGCAGCGGCGGCGGCAGCGGCAGCGGCGGGCGGGGCGACATGGGCAGCTGGAGAGAAGGGGATTCCAGGGACTCTTCGCCTCGGCGGGCAGAGGAGGAGGGCGGCGAGCAGTCCGGCGGCGAGCGCTCTCGCTCGCGCTCTCGCAGCATGAGTGCCGACAGCGGCGACAGCGGCGACGGGGCCGGCCGTGCCAACAGTGGTGGCGGCAGCCGCGGGGGCGGCGGGCGAAGCGGCTCGGGGGACTTCCGCCAGGACGCCTCGGGCGGGGGCATCTCCCCGCGGTCGCCCAGCGTAGGTGCTGCCTCTGAAGGGCACCAGAACGGCGGCGCCGGCGATGGCGGGGCAGCCGAGCACAGTGAAATGGAGGAAGATGGCGAGGGGGGGCTGGCGGCGCGCAGCCACGAGGACGAGCAGCAGGCGGAGCAGCGGCAGTCGGAGGAGCGGCAGCAGGAGGAGCAAGAGCAGGGACAGAGGCAGTACACGGAGCTGCGGGAGCAGGAGCAGAAACAGCAGCAGCAGCAGGAGGAGCAGGAGGAGGATGCTGACGAGGACCGGTACGAGCGCCAGCTGTCGCGGCAGCAGCAGCCCGGCAGCGATGACGAGGGCGGCGGCGGCGGCAGCAGCAGCGACGGCAGCGGCAGCAGCAGCAGCGGCAGCGGGGCCGAGAGTGACGAGGAGGGGGACGAGGTGGAGAAGGGGGCAGGAGGCGGGGAGGACGGGGTCGAGGAGGACGAGGACTTTCTGGGGCTCTTCAATCAGGAGGACGTGAGTGGTTGGATGTGGTGTGTGTGTGTGTGTGTGCGCGCGCGCGTGTGCGCATGCATGCATGTGTGTGCGTGTGTATGTACGCGTGTGCGTGCGTGTGTGTGTTGAGGCAGAGATTGTGCTTGAGTGGATGGGCGGATGGGTGCTTCTTGAAGGGCCGGGCGGCTCTGCTCTGTCTAAGAATCCGACTTGAGAAGCAGCGGGCAGCCAGGGATGCGTGGGGTGTGGTTGGTGCCTGCAGGATTGCATGCCCGTCTGCCTGAAGATCAGGCCGGGACCCAACCTCTGGGCCCCATGTCGCACCTCTTGTACCCGTCGCAGTTTGAGGTTGATGAGGCGGATGCAGCGCTGCTGTATGAGGAGGGCTACGATGCGGAGGGGCAGCAGCAGGAGCAGCCGGAGCAGCAGCAGGAGCAGCAGCAGGAACAGGAGCGGCGGGACGAGGTAGGGGACGAGGAGGGGGCGCGGCAGGCGGCGAAGCGGCCGCGGCGCGACCAAGCCGGCGACGGCGCTGACGAGGACGCGGCGGCCGCGCGGGCGCTTGACGAGCGCCGCGCGAGCGGCGGCGCCGCGGGCCCGAGCGGCGCGGGCG